CCCCGCCGGCGGCCGCGGACGCGCCGCCCGGCGGCGCGGCGGACGCGCGCTGCAGCGTCTCGAGTGCATCGTACACCGTGTCGTGCTTGAGGCGCAGCGCGGCGGCCCAGTCCAGGGCGGTGTCCAGCACGGCGCGCCGCAGGACTGGGTCCGACAGTCCGCCCTGGGGTTTCAGGGTGGGTGGGGGGCAGGGGACGTGCGACGCGAGGTGGGCAGGGGGCCAAGCGGTCCGGGGCCCCCGGCTGGCGGCGGCGCCGGTCAGCTGCCAGAGGCCAGCGCCGCGGCAGCAGGGAGTGGCGCATGCGGTTAACCCTGAACCCTCTGCCCCGAGACCCCTTCCTATCCCCACCCAACACACCATGCCCGTCGCGGCCACGCGCGCCTCTGCCGTGCACTGCTGCGCCTCCCGCAGCTGCCGCCGCAGCGACACATCGTCCTCCCGTAGCCCTGTCACCCGCCTCCTGCAGCGCTCGCAGCACGCCCTCCTTCGATACATGACTGGGCGGCGGCGGCGACGGTGTGTGTGCGTGTGTGTGTGTGTGTGTGTGTGCGTGCGTGCATGCGTGTGCGTGTGTGTGTATGCGTGTGTGTGCGTGAGCGCGCGTGTGCGCGCGCGCGTGCATCAACCATGCTGGGCGGTGTGGTGCAGCTTGGCAAGGAGCGCGATTGGTGCAGCCAACAGCAGGGCCGTCCGCCAGGAAAACGTGCGATCAGCTGACGTGACTTGACAAACCCAGCGCCGCCTGGACGCAGCGCTCACAGCATGAGAGAAATTGCCCAGATAACAGGGTGACGGGGCTGCCGCTGCACCAGCACAGCCCACTCATTGCTCGCCATCGGATGCAGAACCGGCCCCATTGTCGGCATGCCGTGCGCTGGCGTTCCTGTAATGCAGCTTGAACGGCACCGACATGGCCTCAGCCACGCGGGCCAGCAGCAGCGTCTGCTGACGGCTGATGGGGCCCTCCGCGATGTCCACCGCCATGCGGCTCTGCTGCCAGTCCTTGATGTGGACGTGCTTCAACAGCTGCTTGTACAGGTCCACCACCCTGCACAGAAGCAAAGCAGCAGCAGATGGTGGCGTCGTGATTGCCAGTCAGCGAGGGGCATCCACATTACATCAACATTGCACGAAGCCGTGAGAAACAGTGCAGGCGGGGCCCACACCACTGGCGGTTAGGCGCGTTGCATGTGCAGCAATTGTTGCCGTATTAGACAAGCAAGCACGCACCCAGCGACAGCGTTGCCAAACAACGAGCCCGGCCTGCGCATGGCAGGGGCGTGCGCTGGTAGCAAGTCTGCATCGCTCACTCGACAGCGACTGCCTCTGCGCTGCTGCCGCGCGTGTGCCGCGCCAGGGACGCCATCAGCTGGGGGTGCTCGCGCAGGATGTGCAGCCACTTGGCCTTGCGCGACGTAAAGGCCGCGTCACGCCCGCCGCTCAGCCTGGCCTCCGCATACTCTGTCATCAAGGTAGCATACAGCGGGCCAGGTGGTGGGCATATGATGATGTCAGCAAGCAGCAGCTGCTCACCCCTCACTCAGCTGCGCGGGCGTGCACCCCCCCCCCATCTGCGCCACGCTCAACTAGCACGCACCCAGCAAGCCTCGCATGTGCAGTGTGCCCCGCGTAAACATGAGTTCCGCCGTCACGATGAACAGGTCCTTCCTGGCCAGCACTAGATCTTTGTCCATCTTGGCCAGCTCCAGCTCCTTGTCCTTCAGCTGCAGCTCCGTCTCGATCAGTTCCCTTCGAGCCGCCTTCTTGTCTCTCTCCTGCTTCATCACGCCAAGCAAGATGTCGTTGCTCACTCCCTTGCTCACGCACAGTCTTATGATGTCGGGGACATTGTCGCTGTACTGGCGGCATGTGATCGCGAAACTCGCGAGGAACTGCCCGTGCCGAGCACCCTGGGACAGACAGCGCAGCAAGAACATGATCTGCACCTCCCGAGTTTAGCCTGATGTGTGCGGGTTGCAGGTGGCGAGTGTTGATGTGTGGACAGGCTGGCTGGAAGGCACGCCGACAGAATTGTGACAGGCACAGTTCAATCAGACCCTTGGACAACCTGCCTTCAAGGTTGAACCGAGGGTGGCCTGGAAAGTGCAGACAAGGCCGCCACAGGCGAGGCACTCGTTCTTCTCCTCGCCAAAGGCGTGTGCTGCAGGTTGCCCAATGTCGTCAGCAAACACATATCGCAAGAATGAACCAGCAATGAAGTTCGTGGGAGGCGTTTCTGGGCCGCAACGGCAGCCTCTACCATGATGGCGGCTTGCATTGGGTCTGCCGCCGCCCCGCCACACAGGTGCAGGTGAGCAAAGGCAGTCTGGTGATTCAAGGAACACTCTGAGCCAACTGGCATCACCGCGCTGTGCGCCATGACAGTTTGGACGGCCCGCCGCGGTGACAGTTGGCTCTGGTTGGCCGGGGCAGGCGGCAGGGGCGGCGGGGCTTCCATCACCTTGCGGCGCGCGGTGACAATTCATCCGGCCAGCAGCGGTGACAAATTCGCGCCGGTCGGCCGGGGCTCGCGGCGTGGCTGGCAGGGCGCTGCGTCAGCGGCGGTTCGGCTGGTGGTTTGGCCGTAGGGCGGGGCGGGCGGGGGGCTGGCACGGCACCTCAGCAGTGGTGGCATGGATTTCTGCGCTCGATGGTGCATGGTTGAGGGTGTCACGCGCTCCCGAGCGCCGCGGTGATGGTGGTCCGGGTGGTGGCAGCTGTCCGAGGCAGTGTACGGAAAGGGGCTGCTGCCACTAATGAGGGCACATGGCTGCGCGTTTCCGAGGCAACTGTTGCCAAGACGCTCCTCGTTGCTGCGGCCTGTGGTTGAATTGACCATCATCACCACGGCGCCTAGTCGCCTCGTCAAAGATTTCTCATTGCTAAGGCGCCACAACTGCCTACATCATGCACTCTTGCGCCAGCGCGTCAGCCGGCGGCGCCAATGCCATGCTGGCGCTGCACTCCTGGCACCAGCGGAATTTGCAGCGAGAGCGTCTGCAGTGGGCAAGTGAGCCCAGTGCCGGTTGTGCACCGGCCCCACTGTGCACGACAGGCCCAATGCACACTACGCCCAACCATTCAATGTGCAACACGCAGGGTCGTTGAGTTTGTATTACTTGACGATCATATTGCTGTCACAGCACCCGTGGGTACTGTGACTTTGGGTTCTCATCGGAAGGAAGTAGCAGTGGGGCTGTTGACACAGCACAGCCGGGCCGGGACAACCTGGCTGGGGCCGGCACCGACAGCAGTGAGGAGCGGTTGAATTTGTTGGTCAGGCCACGGGGGTGCGCCTGATAATCGGGGCATGCTCAGGCAAGGAGGGGACGGGTATGAAGCATGCGCCGAGCGGCCTCTTGCAAGCCGGGCTGCGGGAAGCGAATCAAGGGGACACGGCTGCCGGCAGGCGACGAGGTGTCTGCCGCCTGCCGCAGGCGGGGCATGAGTTTGACCTGATGCGAGGGGCATGGTGGCGCGGAGAGGCTGTCGCCTGAGGCTGTCGCCTGAGGCTGTCGCCTGAGGCTGTCGCCTGAGGCTGGAAAAACACGGCGCGCGCTATCACGCGCGTGTCCGCGAATGGACGAAAGCGGCGCACGGGGGTTGGATTGGGGTTTTAGGCGGGGCGTTGTCAGGGCCCCAGCAGCGCGTGCCGCACAAGGGCGTGGCCGCTGCCGGGTCATGTGGCGGGTTCGGCGTGCTCGTTGATTACGGGCCGGCTGAGCAGCGCCGGTGCTGAGGACAGGGAGGCAGGAGGCGTCACCTGCCCTGCCCGGCCGCCACGGTCTACGGCAGTGCGGCCGCCCACGGGCCCCGCCCACGCTCGCGCGAGCTTGTTGCATAAGCAGCTGGGTAGGGTTTAGATGACAACGAATAAAATGCGCCAGGGGCGCCACCGGTGGGAAAAGGGTCGATTGTGTTTCCAAAAACACGGCCGCCTGGGGCGTCGCGCCGCCGAAGCCAGAAACGCGTCGACTGCACCGACCGCGCAGGCGGGCCGGCTGCCTTGCGTGCCCACACACAAGCGCCCCTTGCCTCCACGCGCGGGCAAACGGGGTGGGTGCGCCTGAGGCAGTACACGGCGCCGTGTCTGTGCCGCATTGGTGAGCAAACATTCGCGGCCGCGGCGCAAGTACGAAATTGTGCGTAGTAGCACGTCGCTCGCGAGATGCCCCGCCCGCCTGGGCACCACTGCGCGGGGCTGCCGCGCGCCGTCAAAACTGCTGCTGCAGCTGCTGATGCTGTGGCGGCGAGGGGGCGCGCTGCGCCGCGGCCGCCTGCTGGTGCAGCTGAAGGGTCAGGCCCTGCAGCGCCTCGCTGATGCAGGACGACGCACCATACTGCTGGGGACCCCGCACCAGCAGCTGCTGCGGGGGTGACGGGGACGGCGCGGCCGGCGGCGAGACCGAGCCCGAGCTCGCCGGGCGGGCGACCGCGACCTGGGAGGGGGGCGGCGGCGGCGAGCCCGACCCGCTGCGTGCCAGTAGCTGCAGTGCGGGCGCCGCCACAAACGCGGCTAAGTGCGGCTGCTGCTGGTGCTGCTGCTGCTGCACTTGCTGCTGCTGCTGCCGCGCCGCCGCCGCGGAACCCTCCAGCTCCGCCACCACCCCGGCAAAGTCCGCGGCCGCCGGCCCCCTCAGCCCCGTCAGCGCCTCCAGCGCCCCCGGCCACGCGGGCCACTGGCCCCGGCAC